CCTCACGGCGGAGGAGTATGTCATCCAGGTAGGGAGCAGCCGCTGCCAGCAGAGCCCCACAGTGCAGCAGCCAGGGCGGCGGGTGCCCCTCCCTGCGCGGATGGTGACGCGCGTGTCCTCTGCAGTTCTCCAAGGGTGGCCTCCGCGTCTGCCTGTCCGGCTTCCGGGCTCTGGACGTGCCTCCGCCGGCGGGGCCCCTCTGGATCCTGGGCGACGTCTTCCTGGGCGCCTTTGTGGCCGTCTTCGACCGCGGGGACGCGAAGGGCGGCGCCCGGGTGGGGCTGGCGCGCGCTCGCCCCCGGGAAGCTGCCTCGCCAGGGGGTGCGCGGGGTAGCCGCGGGGGGTGAAGCCCTGTGGACAGTGCGGGCACCAGTCAGGCCACAGGTTCCCCCTCTAACAAGCACGCCAGCCCTCCCTCGCCCCTACTCAGTAAAATTTTCTATTTCCTTGAAACTTTTTGGGTCACTTCTTTTTTCTTTTTGGCACGTTATGGGAACAGCATACTTCGTGGTTTCTAACGTGGCCTTTGGGGAGCAGCGTCTGCCCAGTCCCGGGCCTTTCCCCGTGCGGCGGCTTGTGCTGCATGCAGGGAAGCCCTCCCCGTCCCCACTTCTGCAATCACTGGGCGCCAAGGACAGGAACTCAGGGTGGGAACAGAATTCCTTGTCTCCACCCTGTTATACTTTGGGGGGTTTGACGCCTGGACGGAGGGGGCGCCTGGTGCTTTGTAGGATGTTTAGCAACTTCTTTGGCTGCTGCCTGCTGGCTCCACTTGTTACAACCAAAAGTGTCTTGGTGACAAGTGTGCGGGGTGGGGGAGGGTCGCCGTGCCTTTGAGGAGGGTGGGAGTGCAGCCCCAGGGGGATGGGAAGCGGCTTTTGGCTTTTGTGTGTGTGTAAAAGAGCTGTGGCATAGGCCAGAGTTGTGGGGGTGAGAGGGTTCACCAGAGGCAGAGTGGGGAGCAGCACAGGCGCATCCACGGAAGCCTGCTGCTGAGGGGGGCAGGGGGAGGCAGAGAGGTCTGCCCAGCTCCGAGGGTCTGTCCCTGGCGGGGGATGGACTCGGGATCTCAGTGGTCACGGCTGAGACCCCACCCTCGGCCGCCAGGGAGGCCTGATTCTTTCAGCTTTGCTGTGTGTTGGCATTTTTCTCATAATGAAAAATTTTGATGTGCTACTCAGTGACAGGCAAAGTGAACCTAGGAGTCAGGGCGTTAGGCTTCCTCGGGACACCCGCTGCAGGTGAGGCCTGCATGCGGCTGGCCGCTCCGCGTGTGTGGACGTGTGAAGAATGTGTCGCTCAGGCTGGTCTGAAGCGAGCGGGACGAAGAGAGCTGGCGGCTGGGCTGGGCGCACAGGGGCCCTGTGGAAAGGGGACGTCACAGTGCAGCAGATAAAATAGAGGTGCGGCGGTGGCCAGTGCAGGCGCCATGAACAATCCTTTCGCTGTTTCTAGATGCTTGACTATCCCGATGCTGTCATGATCGGGGGCACCGTGAAAACAGGGCATGGGCCTGTCCCTGTCTATACATCATCTAATTCTTTTGAACAGGCCAAGGTATAAGGTTAAGGGAAGAAAAGCCACAGATCAGTAAATCAAGTTTGTACTTATTGACTTCAAAAATATGCAGGTTGGGCCCTCCCTGGTGGCGCAGCAGGTTGAAGCACAGCACTGAGAGGCTAAAGCCACTTCCCCATGAGTTCGATTCCCGCCTGCCCTGGGGGTGACCACATGGCGTGGCAGACCTCTCCTGACCCACCCGCTGCTCCCCTCAGCAGTGTACTTCCTTGGTCTGCCTGTTCTGCTCCCCGCTCTCTCTGGTGAGGCCTCTCGCAGCCCCTGAGCCTCTGGCCTGTACCCCAGTTCTGTATGCACAAATAAATCTTTTTTTTATTACAAGTTTATTTTTACATCATTTTGTACATTTTTTTTTCCAATCTCAATTGTAATCCCCACAGGTTTCCCATCACCAAGTCACCCGTGTGCCATCACCATAATCCCGTGCATTTCCCTTCCCCCAACCCCCCTTTTTGATCCCATTCCCCACTCCACCCCCGCAAAATGTCTCTGGTATATGGTTGTTCATTATTTTTGTTATTTTCTCGCCTGGTCCATTATACTCCTGCTATGAGTGAAACCATCTGGTATTTTTCTTTCTCTTTCTGGCTTATCTCACTAAGCATGATCTTTTCCAGCTCCATCCAAGTTGCTGCAAAAGACATGTGTTTCTCTTTTTTGGTTGCTGAGTAATATTCCATTGTATATATGTACCACATCTTTCTAATCCAGTCATCTGCTTTTGGGCATTTGGGCTGCTTCCATGTTTTTCCAATTGTAAATAAAGCAGCAATAAACATGGGGGTACAGGTATCTTTTTCAATCAGTGTTTTTGTGTCTTTTGGGTAGGTACCTAGGAGTGGGATTGCTGGGTCGTAGGGAAGCTCCATGTTTAGCAGTTTGAGGAACCTCCAAACAGTTTTCCATAGTGGTTGTACTAGTTTGCATTCCCACCAGCAGTGGGAGTTCCTTTTTCTCCACATCCTCGCCAATGTTTGTTATTGCTAGTTGTTTGAAGATGCACAAATAAATCTTTTTTAAAAAAAATATGCAGGTTGGCAAAGAAAAGAAACACATGCCTTTTGCAGCAACATGGATGGAGCTGGAAAAGATCACGTTTAGTGGAATAAGCCAGAAAGAAAAGGAAAAATACCAGATAGTTTCACTCATAGCAGGAGTATAACGGACCAGACGAGAAAATAATGATCATGATGAACAGCTCTAGACCAGAGACATTCTGTGGGGGCGGAGTGGGGACTGGGGTCAAAAACAGTGGGGGGAGGGAAGTGCACTGGGCTGTAGTGATGGCACATAGTGATTTGGTGATGGGAAGCCCACGGGGATTACAACTGAGATGGAAAAGGCACAAAGTGATGTAAAAATAAACTATTATTTAAAAAAAAATGCAGGTTGAGACCTTCCTAGCACCTAAGGGTTGGGTCTCAGCGCTGTCAAGGCTAAGGCCTGAGTTCGATCCCTGGCCAGGGAGTGACCCACAGGGCGCAGCAGACCTCTGCTGTCTCCCTGCTGCTCCCCTCAGCAGTGAATTTCAGTGGATCTGCCTGTTCTGCTCCCCACTCTGTCTCTGGGGAGGCCTCTCACCCCTGTACCTCTAGCCTGTACCCCAGTTCTTCTACACACTATATAAATAGATACAGGCTGATAGTGACACACAACGAAGTCAGAAACCCAGAAAGATGAGATTTCCCAGCACTGTTGGTGACCCCATGGTGGGTGGGGTTATTTAAAAGTATTTATCCTTGGGCTTGTTCTTTGAAGTCAGAGACTCAGGGTTGTGCCAGGAAATCTGCATTAGCAATTGCACATTTATACTTGAGAAGCTTATCAGGGAGAAAGGCCGCAGTTGAGGCAATGTGACCACAGTCGCTTTCGGGCTTTCTGATTTGACAGCTGTGGGGTGATGTGTGTGTGTCTGTGTTTGCTGAATACAGCAGTAATATCGGGGGCCTTATACTCTGGCAGCCCCGCTCCAGTGGGCGGGGGGTCTGACCCCTCTCCAGACCCTTGACCAACTCCCCACCCCCCCTTCACTGGTGGAGCAAACACTTGTGGTTAATGAGTCTCGGAACGGGAAGTGAAAGTCTAGAGTAAAAGTGATAGTAGCTACAAGGTGGAGGTGGGGCTCTGGTTGAGGACACCCCAACCCACCCCCAACTTGGGAGCGAGCAGGGCCCACGGGTGCTACTCGTGGGGACCCCACCAATCTCAGTCCATCCTGCTAGTGTCCCCGCCTCCTCGCCCCGGGCCCGCACCCACACACTCCACTCCTGGGTCACCTCCCAGACCCAGGGGTGGGTGGTAGGCAGGGCGGAGTCTCAGCTAGTAGAGAACTGGGGAGCGAGCGCCTGGGGTGCACTGGGGCCCAGAGATGTCGCCGCCACCTTTGCTGCTGCTGCTGCTGCTCCTGAACCCTGCAGGGGCCTCGCTGATCAGGTACTGGGGACCCCGTCCCCTCCCAGAGGGAATCCCCCCTTGCCCTTTCTGTCTGGAGCTCCCCAGGACAGAGACTCCCAAGCATGGCTCCCCGTCTGCTGGGTCGCCAGATCCACCACTGGGCTCAGCCCCGAGGACCCCGCACTCCTGACTGGGACCCGCCACCCCCCTGTGCGGTCTGGAGGACCCTGCCAACCCCCCAAGCTCTGACCATCTGGTACTGGGGTCTCCAGACTTGGAGCTGAGAGACTCGATGGCGGCATTTAAGCTGTCCCTCCGGGGCATGTCTTTAGGACTCAAGAAATCCTCTTTGGGGGGGGCCCATTTTCTCCCCTCGGGGCCTTCCCTCAGTTTCTCCTCTCCTCTCTTCTCCCTGAAACTCTTGATAGGAGGCAGGGGTGCTCTTCCAGGAAGCAGCTTCCCCAGGCGCATTCCTGACCTCTCAAGGACTGAGTGGGGTTGGGGGGTGACAAGGGGCAAGACTCCGGGAAGTGACAACAGCCAGGTTCCAATCGAACAGCAGGGGCTGCAGCCTGCTGTCACGTGTGACATCTCGTGGCCAGCCCCGCTCGGGTCGCTGCAAAGAGCTCTGGGACCCGAGTGCTGTCTCCAGGCCCAAAGCCCAGCCAGCGTGCTGGGTGCCAACCCTCAGGCCCCCTCCAGGCCTGCGCGGTGAACCAGGAGAGCTGAGTGGTGGCCAGGCCCTAGGTCGTGGCTTGACAAACACTCGGCAGGGGCCAGATCGAGCTGGCCACTCCTGCAAACAGCGGTCAGTGGAGTCCAGCCTTTGCTGCCTCCCAGCTGGTGTGTGGCTGCTCCCGCTGCGTGGCTCATAGGACGGGTGGAGTTGCAACCCGCACCCATTGTCTTCAGCGTGGTTGCTAAAGGGCTCCCCATCAGACCTGCCCCAGCGGACTCGATTTCATGCCAGAGAGAAGCCCTGGCACTGAGCGAGCTGAAGGACCCACTCCACCATGGTCCTCAGAGGACCATCAGACTCGGTGGCGGACATCAGATGGTTTCCTCTCCCAAGTCAGGTTCATCCTCATAGGCAAATCCACCCTGCTGGCTCATGAGCTCAGCTAGCTGAGAGCCTTCCAGCCGAGATGGAGTTGATTGAAAAGGTGGGGCCCCCAGTGATATTTTACAGGGGTTGAGTGGGGAATGGGATCAAAATGGGGGCAGGGGAGTGCACTGGACTATGGTCATGGCACATGGGTGAATTGGTGGTAGGAAATCCAAGGGGATGACAACTGAGATGGAAAAATGCACACAATGATGTAAAAATAAACTAGTGTATTATTTAAAAAGGAAGAAAAAAAGAAAAAGAAAAGGTGGGGCCCACGTAGAGGTCTGTGATGCATTTCCACATCACGGACCAGCAAGTTTGTAGCTATCTACAGTTGGCAGCCGGCCCCAGAACTCCTGATTCTTTCCAAGCTGCAGGATGCAAAAATGTATCTCACGCTTGTCACTTGTATTCCTTGTTACCAAGGCGGTGGGCATCTTTCCCATCTGTTCAGAAGCTGCTTTCACTGATTTCCAAGTTACCGCTGTCTGTGCTCTTTGCCTGTTTTGCTCCTAAACGTGGAGAGCTGTGAAATTAGCTTGGCGCAGACCTCACGGTGGCTCGTAGAGGACACAAGACTCCCAGGTCAGAGACAGACGACAGGCAGCTTGTTACTCCCAGCGGAGGTAGCCAAAATGCCAGCCTCTGAAGCTGTCTCCCCGCCCCCCAAATTTATGTATTTATACATACAAGAACTGGGGTGCAGGCCAGAAGCAGAGTGGGGAGCAGAACAGGCAGATGTTCCGAAACACACTGAGCAGCGGGTGGGTCAGGAGAGGTCAGCTGCGCCCTGTGGCTTCCTCCCTGGCCGGGGAGTGAACTCGTGCCACAGAGGCTGCGGAGAGCCTCACAGTGCTGCACTCCACCCCCTCACGCCACCAGGGAGGCCCCTCTCAATCGGCCTTCTGAGCCCCCTGTTCCCACAGGGAGTGTGGTTAAGAAGGCGGGAGGACCTGGGACAGCTACAAGCTGCATCCAGGAGAGGAAACCTCAATGCAGGACCCAGTCTTGACAGTGGGTCAGGCGCCTGCCTCCTTGGAGCCCCAGGGAGGCCCTGAGTCCGGCAAGGCTGCGCCCTAAGTGAAATCCCTGACGAGACAGCGTGGACAAAGGCAGTCACTGCCTCCGCGGAACTGTGGGCGACAGATGGGAGTTCTCTGTCAACACTACGTTGTTTACGTTATTTGTTTACAGACGCTCTTTGTATACGGGAGGTATAAATTACTCGTCATAACCTTTGTAGTTATTTGGCCTAGATTTTTTCCTTTTAATTTTATAGCTTTGTGTCTTGGGGGAAGGGATAAAGCAATTAAAGATTTGAGTCAATCTCATCAGTCTTCCCCGGATGATGACTGATAGCAGTGTCAGGTGTAGAAAAGCTTCCTCATCCCAGCGTTTTTGAGCACCTCACAGCCTTCCAGTGCTCTTTCAACTTTACACGCACGTGATGGTGGTGATTTATCCTGAACAGGCTGCGTGTGAGCGGTACCACTGGGGTAGGAGACTTAACATTCTCTCCCCCGGTGACAGAGAATAAGTCTCTAGCATCATGAACAAAAACATGGAAGGGTTTTGCAAAGACTAGAATTTATGTCATGGACAAAGCTTGTGAGTAACAGTTCCCCGGGGTTAACTGACTTTACAATATTTTTTAAATAATTGTAATAGTTTATTCTTACATCATTTTGTGCCCTTTTCCATCTCAGTTGTAACCCCTGTGGGCTGCCCATCACCAGATCACCCGTGTGTATTTTACATTATTTTTCATGTCTCCTTTTGGAGGTATGGGGATGGTGTGCTCAGCCTTTGGGGTCCCTAGTCACGATGGGCGGTGGCTTCCCGGAAGGCTGTTCTCGCAGGGTTTCTGGCAGTGACTGTGCCAGGGCGCTGCCATGCTGCTTCGGCCTCTGCCACGGGGACACCTGCGTGGAGTGACCAGCCAGGGTGGCTTCTACCTCAGAGTCCTTCTCCCCACAGGATCCGTCTTCGCCGAGCCCACACTGGACAGGGGACCTGGAACCCACTGAGGCAATGGGGGGAGCCGGCAGTGACCCCCAGACTGGGCGACCCACCCCCTGGGCACAAGCCTGTCTTTGTGCCTCTCTCCAACTACATGAACGTGAGTCCCAGCTCCACACAGACGCCCACTACCCACACCTGTTGGGGACCCGCCCTAACTATCGAGGTGCCCGGAGTCAAGACAGGCAGGACCCTAAGCTGGGAAGGCGTCGGCGAGCGGAGATTCCTAAAAGGGGAAAAAGGGGAGCGGGCGTCAGGAAGACACGGGAGTCAGGACAGGGTGCAAGTCTTCCTGCTGTCCCTCAGCAGGTCTTCATTTATACCATGTAGCAAGTAGTTCATTGCAATAATGCATAGGGTGAGTTCATGAGAGATCGCCATTAAGCGTTCTCAAGGACAAGGGGAACAAAGCATTTTTCTCTTAACATTTTATGGTATACTAGATTATACGTTTTTATGATAATTGCCATGTGTACAGCTGTCTAGTTATCACTCGGGGAAGAGGGGTCTGGGAAGGGATGAGCTCTTAGCAAAAGGTTATTAGGGGCCTTAGGGAAGTAATAAATTATGTTAGCAGTGTTATCAGTG